TCCACTTTTTTACCTTCAAAAACTCCTGGGTTGCTTTTGCTGTATTTGTATCATTTGTACTATGAAGCACTGTCCAATCAACTTTGCTGCATTTGGCTGAATCTGGGCAGACAGTACATCCCTATACACTTCAGAATTCATCCGGCTGCTTCTGTCCTCTGTCACATCATCAAAAAACACCAGTAACCCAGTGCCACTGGAAGCCATACATGCTCATGCCATCACACTGCCTCCACCATGTTTCACAGATGATTTTGTGTGCTTTAGATCATGAGCTGTTCCAAGCCTTTTCCATACTTTTTTCTTCCCGTCATTCTGGTGCAGGTTGATCTTAATTTCAGCCGTCCAAAGAATGCTTTTCCAGAAGTGCTCTGGCCTTTTTAGATGTTTTTTGGCAAAGTCTAATCTGGCCTTGTTTGCATCTTGTGGTGAACCCTCTGTATTTGCTCTCGTGAAGTCTTCTCTTGATTGTAGACTTTGACAGTGACACACCTACCTCCTGGAGAGTGTTCTTATATATATATATATTTCACTTACTGCCCCAATATTGTCCGACAAAACAATATATATTAAAGGCTATGAAAATAAATAAAGTGAATGTAACCATGTGTAAGCCTTTATATTATGTGCAAAAAAGGGTTAAAATCACATTTCATTCTAACATTGTAACATTGCAATCTAAAAACAAAAATAAGGCTTTTAAAGCGGAAGTTAAATTCACTAAACTAAAACCTTAAAAGGAAGGGAAGATTACTAGTAATCTCAAAACTGATGTTAAACACTTTTTTTTTTTTTTGTCATCAAAATTTCTGTTTTAGAATTTCAGCATGTATGAAACAGACCCTAAATCACAAATCAGAAGTACTATACACAAACAGATGCCACGAAAAAATGTCCACCTTAAAATGTAGACCAGATAAATGAGATAGGAGATCCAGGCTTTAGCTTCTCTAACAACACCTCAGCAATTTCTGCCCAGTTCTAGTACTTTCTGGCCAGAATAGTTCTGTACTTTGCTCCATTAAGCTTGGCAAGTAGTACCTTCAATTAAAGTGATATCTCTAAAGTAGGATAGCCAAGTAAAAGTTGTAGAGGTGGTTGTATCCTTTAAAACAGTCTTTTTGGCAGCTGTACCAGTCATCCAATAGCAGGAAGATTATGGGATCCTGTGGTATCTCTGGGTGTAGAAAATCAGGGAGAACAGTGCACACAAATGTCCAGAATTGTTGGACATTCCCAGAACATATGCATATATGAGCTTACACCTAGACTTATTACAGAAATTACAATAATGGTCTGATCTAACGTTAATTTTATACAGTCTACTTGGAGTGATGTATGCCCTATTAATAAGCTTACAATTTATCATCTGATGTGCAAGGTTCTTAGATTAAATGAAACAACTAGCCCATACCACATCATAGGTGAACACAATAGTATTTATTAAATCCTCTGGAAGCTGTGCTTTGCAGTCTTATTACTTTTGGAAAGTGGAATATGACTCCAATGTTCTGTCATTTTAATTTAAATGTTCTATACAATTAAAATATTTCAATTGACTAATAATGATCAGAATAAACTATTATCTTTTTCTTTCCTCATCAGACGGACCGTGCAGTGCAGTTGCTTTTGGAGACCAGTGCAGATAACTCCAGCTACTACTGTGACTCTCTCAAAGCCTGTCTGGTGACCACCATCACCTCATCCGGCCCGTCTCAGAGCACCATTAAACTGGTGGCCACAAATATGATTGCAAACGGCAAGCTTGCAGGTAGAGCAAAAAGAGTCAGCCTTGTTTGTACCCTGTATGATTTCTTTCTTGTATAGAACACTAAATGAGATCTTTGTCTAAACTCTTTTTCCATATTCAATTAAATACACATTTATTTGTATAGCGTTTTTTTCACAATACAAATCGTTGCAAACATGGCTGTAGCCAGGGTTTGAAAATTAGTGAGGTCTGGAGTGGGGTTAAGAATTGTGTTATAATAACCCCTACAAATACAATTCATTATACTAACACTTTAAAATGGACAGAGATATAGATGTATGTGAAAGATGTTTTCTCTGTTTTGGAGGGATGAACACTGTTAAATTATACCATATTTATTGCATCAAAATTTGTTATTTTGTTACTAGCCTATAGGATAGGGGTAGATAATTTTATCAGTTGTTAATTAATCATGCAACAATACATATTACTGTTATAGTTTTCATTAATAATCAATGCTATATAGATGATAAATTTGTCTAGTGTTCTTATGAATGTTTTAGCATGATTTGTGAAAATTTAATTACTATACTGAATGACATAGCATAGACTTCTTCATGGCTAGTGTTTGCATAGGCTATTTCATTTCATTCTGTAACCTACTTGTTCTACAGATCTCTAGACTAGTGTTAAATGCTACTGTTTTGATAATATTGATAACGTTTCAGACAGATAATATCATGATATTTTTTGCATTTGCCTTACAGAATGTGGTATCCTGTCAGCAATAACATGTCCATGGGCTTTTTTGATTACTTTCAGTTTAAGTGCGGACGATGCAGTGTTGCCAGATATTGTTATCAAAACAAATAAAAAACTAACAATAAATATAAAATAAACCAAATTATTTAAAATCTTTTGCAAACAAGTTAAGATAAAGATATCGCTGACCCTAAACTGCAACTTCCCACTTCATTAACTTTATAAAGTGTCAAATTAAGTGGAAAAGACAAGTCCAAAAATGCTTATAATAGCTGATTCTGGCAACACGGAGGCTGCGCCCGTGCCCTCACTCATAACTCTCTCAAGAGCTTGTTCATTCCGCCAGCGTCTCGATCATTTTAATACCACAGACGCTAAACATTTTTGCTGTCTAAACTGAATTATACATGTCATTCAGACATAGGGCTGGGCGATATGGGCAAAAATTCATATCTCTGTATTTTTTGGCCGATTTGCGATATACGGTATA